ATGATGATGATGATGATGATGATGATGATGATGATGATGATGATGATAAAGACTTTACAAGAAAAATTAAAAGTTTAATGTATAATAATTTATAATAATTAATAATTTATAATAAATTTATAATAATTTAATAATATGTATATCCAAATAATCAAATCGAAAATAAACTCAATAGAAATTATAATAAAATCTGCTAACAAAATATAATAGCAGATTGACTGCAGAACCTGCAGTTTCTGAACAAAATCTGTGGCATTTCATAAACATTTAAATATTTTAAATAATTCAACTTGTTCTATCTCGGAAATTATTCCGAATCAGATACATGTATGAACTTTTTTCTTCAGCATTATTAATTTAGAATTAACTATTATTTATTAGAGTTCCTCACATAAAAGTTTAGACACCGCTTAAATAATTTTTGATTGATTGAGAATAGCACATACGCACACAACAACACTGCTCACGCGGTGCGGATATACACAAAGAATAGAATTTTCGAATAAGGCACTATTATTGACCTTTGACCTCCCATATCTCGAAAACTGTCCATTTTTTGACCTCGGGTCCATTATGACTTTTGATCAGGACGACATGAACTACATCATACTACAATTTCAGCAAATTCGACGGGAGGCCAATTTTCCCTGTGATGTGAGCGGGGTCCTTTAATTATGTAATCATATATAAATGTTTTTATATATATGGAAAATTTTTTACTGAGTAGTTAGTCCGAAAATGGTGGATCGTGTGTGAAATTCTTACTTGAAGAATTTTAATTTTTAATACTATTATCTCTCACCTTTTTTCTTAGATCTCTCTGTACATATACATATATACAAAATAACTGTGTGTATAACAACAACAAAAGAGAATAATAGTGACTTTGATCAAATTCCGATTAGCTTAATCAGTAATTTATTCAATCAGTAGAATCGCTTACTGCAAAATTTCTAATTATTAATTTATTAAATTCTCCCGAATCTAATCTTTTTTTCCATATATTAAACAAGAAAAAATTAATTACTCTATTTATGTTAACAAAATAGCATAGATATTGCTTAACAAGTTAATCGTTAGTTAAGTCCTATCTAACTAATCGGAGTTTAGTCATAAAAAAGAACATTATAAGATCTCACCTGGTATTGTTTTCGCGCCCATTTTATGTGAAAATGAAATAAGCGCTATACCGACTAAAGCACAGTCTAGCAACGGTTTTGTTAAACTAGAATATAGATGCGCTACGGAACTGGCTAGCTCTGATAAGTCATCTGTCAGTCTTTGCTCGGCCCCGCCAAGCCTAGTGTCTAAAGCCGATACCCTATAATAAGTCTGTTGACTCAGGTACATCTTGTAGGCATGCTTCACCAGACGCTCCCTGCATAAATAATCAAAAAGTTAAATTCTATATATTCTACAGGATTTTCCATCTAATCTAAATAAAAGGAGATTGCTATTACTTTTAATAATTAATATAGCATGGGAATGTATAAAGATGTTATTTTTATTATGTAAAAGGGAAGCAACAACTAATAATACGCGTTTCTTTATTAGCAATAATGCAGCGTTGCCAATTTTGTCTAAAAAAAAAGAAAGAACGATTCAAATCGCGAAAACAATAACTTTGACAAAAAAATGTTTTATTACATGGATACTATATTTCACATAACATCGTATCATATTTGAAAACAAAAGAAGAAAAGTAATATTAAAAAAACAAAGATAATATTATAGGGGCTGATAATTTTCTTTAAACAGAAAATATCATTTTTTGCTCAAAACATTTTTAATATTTGAAATGTTAAAAATATTATTAAGAGACATGATTAAAAAACATATTTAACACATACACGTTTAAAACATGTAATGTAAGATACACTATATGGAATATATACATATATATTTTATATGTTATTCTACAAAAATATATTCTGTATGCAGGATATCTGATAACAGGTATAACACCCGCCGTGGATAGGTAGAAGGGGTTAAACTGAATAAAAATTCCTAGAGACTCCTAGAGATATCATTGCCATTTTTTACTAGAGAGGATACAGCCTTAGAGGCGTTCAGGCATAATCCCACGGATGGTAGCTTCGCACCACCGGCCGCTCGACCGAGTGCGCGAACCAAATGTCCGAACCTGCGGTTATTCTTCTCGTACGGAGCAGGATTACTATCGCAATGATTGGTCATCAGTAGGGTAAAACTAACCTGTCTCACGACGGTCTAAAAAAGTTCTTTACCATTTGCGAATTTCGCAATAAATAACAAGAAATTAATTGATAAAGATCTGCGGATCAGCGTGCATTTGCGCGATTCGACAAGAACAGATAGGTCAGCGTTTACAGTTACTATGTGTGTGGAAGTTCAGCGTCACGCGTCATTCATGCATAGCCGTTGCTGTTTACAGAGGTCTCTTATTCCTAATGCCTCGCCGCGCGTGTAGTAATATCATAAATAAACGCTAGGCTGTATCATCTCGCCGAATCGTGCGGACGCAACGTTGATTCGCCGTATATTATTAATGGATTTCCCATTATTTAGTGCGAAAAACGCCACATAATATAGGATTTATCTATTCTGTTTAATTCTATTTTTGTTTAAAACCTGATTTGTTTATCCATGGCGAGTGTTACATCTATTATCTGTATACGTAAAATTTTTACAATACATATTTGACCCATCTAGTGTGTTAATATAACTTCTACATTTAATCTTAATTAATAAAAATTAATGACATAATAAGTAATGACATAAGTAATATCATAAATAAATATTACTTAATTTTCTAAGAATGTTAAAATGTATAAAAGTATAATTTTTGCTTACATTTTGTTTTCATCTTTTGTTATAACAGTTTTATATATAACAGTTATTTCTTTATGGTTTAATAAAATAAATAAATTTTGCCATCATACAAAAATTAAAGTGATACTAGATACATCGATTAAAGTGATTAATATTTTACGTGATTAATATTTTTCCAAAAATCCGTTTTAAACTTTTTAAATCTATATTAAACTTTTAAAAAAGTTAATCTTAAACATATATTTAGAACAGTGCAATGTTTAAAACATATCTTAAACGTTTGTTTTAAAAATAAAATTTAAATTATTTGTTTTAAATATGAAATTTAAATCATAACTATAAGAAAGAAAGTATAAAGCAAGTGTAATTAATATACAGGCATAAGATTTTAGATTATAAAAAAATATGATAATAAAATAAATAATTTTGGTGAGTGCAATTTGTGACACAATAGAGAGAATATGCCACTTTACCGTTGCATCAGTGATGGATTTAGAAGTTTGTGGACCCCGAACAATATGAAGCGTGATTCAACAAACTGAAAGTTTCTTTCGGTTGTGAAACAAAGAAGCTGATTAAAAGCTTGAGTGCAAATTAGTTTATAAATATTTATTCGTTACGCCATCAAAAATAAAATCCAAAATAGATCAAAACATTCAAAATTTCTGCTGAAAATTGTCATCTTAATAATCACCATTGACATAAATATCTATGTATTTATCACTCTAATTAGTCTTTTTCATATTTCATAATTTTACATTTTTTATACTTTTCTGAGAAATCTTTTTCATTAGAAAAATTTTCTTACTTTTAACTGCATTTTTGCATTTTATTTACCAATTATTTATTTCTTTTTTTCTCTCCAAGCTCATTAATTTTTTCTTTCTAAACTCTGAAAATATATAGGGGAGACCGTGACCAACGGAGTTTAGTGAGATTATGTGCCATGTTGTGATTCTTATTGAGGCAAACGTGTTTTCGGAGGTCGAAAGTAAAATTTTTTGCGCGTCGAAAATTTATAATATCTTAAATATTATTGTGTCTCCAAATCTCAAAGTAAGTGATTCTAAAGAGTAATGCATGCTGAACACGAATCCAGTGAAGTTTTTTTATTTTCATTGATTTCTAATAGTTTATGAGCGACCATATAATGGAGGCTTTCGGTGAAAATCAAAGTCAAAGAAGCAGTAGTGGTTGGATTCCGGCGAGGACTTGGATAATATGTACATTGCGTGTGCTGAGAGATGACAGAATAGAGCTGACGAGAAACGTGCGAGCGTAGGGAAGTGTGTGCGCTTTTCTTAAATTGTAATTATTTTCCGCAATCGTGTTTTTAATTAATGTTTCCATTTTTCTATTAAAAAATAATTAATAAAATGTATCCTATCATTTTTCATGATCGGAATTATGAATTTTCATTTAAAATTTAGTCCGAGAATGGAGTGACGAGTGACGACTCCGGCCCGGCAATTTTGACATTTGAATTTTTGCACCTTTATCGTTTTCACTCTATACCAGTTGAACAAAGCGACGTAGACCAAGAATACCCGTATAAATTTAGTAGCCAAGGGTTCACTCTTTACAACGGTATACCATATTTTACTAAAATTATTTGTTTTGTTGTTAACAATCGGCACCGAAAAAATAGTGACGACTTTGCCCCGGTCTCCCCTCTGAATATATACCTAATATATGTATATCTAAACGCAAGACATAAGATCGGAATCATAAGATTCACATTCCTGTTTTAAAAAGAGAGAAGAAACATCTAAAAACCTAAAAAAGAACTCATTGTCAGTCATTTATTACATGTAAGACCTTCAACGTTAAGACGTAAAAGAATAATGCTATTGTTTTCCCACACATAAACACACACACACATACCCAAGAGAAATTGACATACGGACAAATTAATATAATAAGAAAAGATAAATATTATGGCTAGAATATTTCTTGTACTAAATAACTTATTGTAGAAACATTATTTAAAATTTTTAATAACAACACAAATATATTTTAAATGATCAAGTTAGATAAAATATTCTCTATATCTAAACAAACACACACGTGATATTCGAATAGGTATACTATATTTATATTGAATGTATGGTGGATATACTCAATATACATATATTGAGAAAATATTCATGTAACATCTCTTGTAATGTACTATTTATCCTATATTTTAAAAATATACAAATTTATTAATAATATTCTACTTATATTGAATATTATAAATATATTAATGAATTATTTTTTTTATTATACTAAAAGGAAGAATATACATTCAATCAATTTTAGGAACGTAGCCTATTGGTTGACATATCTTTATGAGGTATTATATGCACTTGTACAGCACTCTAAAGAACGTAAGATGTATTTGAAACTCAAATTAAGCGCCATATTTAAATGGGAAATAAACTAACTCAAAAAATTAATACAGTATGCATGAATTAAAGAAGTAGTAACGTTGTTTACATGTGGCGACATCTTACAGAACCACGTAATAATATTTAGGATATTGGATCCAGTACTACATACAAAAGCTCATTGAATATGAACATATTATATATATATATATACACATATATAGATAGATAGAGTATTATCCCAGCTTTATAGAGATTTGCCGCTTGCCAAGATAACTTATTGTTAGATAATTTAAGTGGAGGGAATATACAGGGTGGATCATTGTAATTAATCCACTTAAATATCTTAAAACTCGTAAAGGACCCCGCACAATACCAATGGAAAAGTGGCCCAGTCAAATTGGTCCAGCCAAGTTTTATAGTATGATGAAGTTCAGACTATCCTGATCAAAAGTCTCAATGGCTGCAAGTTCAGAAAATGCCCAGTTTCCGAGATACTTGGTCTCAAAGTATTGAAATCGACAATGACGGTTCATGAATGAAAGAAAAATCATCGTCGATTTCAACAGTCTGAACTTCATCATACTTAAACTTCAGCTAATTTGACTGGGGCCACTTTTCCATTGGTTTTGTGCGGGGTTTTTTTAGAAGGAAACTTTTTAGACAAAAATTGTTCGGTGCGGTGAGGGGGTCATCTGATTGTGAACTATATTTTATCTTGGGTCAAAATTAGATTGTTGTAAATCGATTATTGTAAAAAACTAATGAAAAACTAATGAAAAAATTATTAACAAAATTTTCTTATATTTTACAGACGCATTTAAATTTTGCGAAGTGTAAATATTAAAATTAATATTATTATTCGATTCCTTTTATTATTCTATATTCTATAAAAGTATCAAGGTAAAGTCATCAAAAAGTAAATACTTTACGAGATATTTCAAATTTTATATTAAAAATATCATGATAAAATTTAAAATATCTCAGGAAATTTTTAATAAAAGTTTTTTATAATATTTTGAAAATGTTTCGACATCAACCACAAGAATATATGATAAAAGATAGAGGAGTTTCTATTTGGAAAAATAAAGTTGACCTTGAAACAGTGCTCTGACCTTAATCCAAGATTAAATAAAGGTCAATGTCAGATAACTCCCTCAACACTGAACAACTTTTGTCTAAAAAGTTTTTTTTAAAAGCTTATGGGTTTTGAGATATTTAAGTGGAATACTTGAAATAGCCCACCCTGTATATACATTTCCTTTTCTTACGCATGCGCAATTGTGTGTTCGCTTGGCGATTATAACCAACCAAAGACTGCAAGATGAGTGGCTGCCGAAAGACATGTACGATTGCGCATGCGCGAGAGAAGAAAATATACCCCTTGCTCTCCTCTTAATATAGGTAAAAACAAGATATAATGCTCTATCTATATGTAATATATCTATAAATCACATCCAAGCAAAAAATTTTAATATCCAAAAAGAACATTGGAAGATATCGATTCTAAAAGAATAAGCAAGCTTTATAATGATAGAAAATATCAATTGATAATCAATTGATAAACTCATGGTGAACTAACTCGAATTATAACTAATTTCTAAGCGTTATTAATATCATTAGTAATTTTTTAGTAATGTATTATCTAATCTTTATAAATATTATAAGTTTCAAAAGTTTGTTAAAATGCAGATTTAAAAAAAAACCACAAATATATTTATAGAAAGATATAATATTAATAGAAATATTTTAATGAATAAAATGTATATTGTTTGTATATTAATTAATATACAACCTATTCTAGTGTACACATGCGCGCGCATGTGAGTGATCTACTCAAACATTCTATAAATATGTTATATACTTGAAAATATTCTGAATATATAAAATATATACCTACATAAAAAATAGAAGCATACTTAGTGTATATTCAGTATATAGCAGTATGTGTTTTGTGAATATTCAGAGAATATAAAACATACTTTTACGATATTTCCTAAATCCTTAGAGCCAATTGATAAAAATTTGCATAGCTGCATAACCATATGCATAAAGAAAATTATTTAATCGTATTTTTACGTGCGTCCGTATGATAGCAATATGATTAGATAATTTTCTTTAATTTTTATATGGTTATGGAGCTATGCAAGTTTGTCTGGGTAGATCCTCAAAATCTATCTGTCTAGACAGCTTTGCCCGTTAAGTTATATTCCCTATATTTTAAGTCTCATTTTCTCTCTATTTTTCTCTAAATGTGCATCTAACTCATTTTAAGTATAGGAAATGTAAGAAGATACCTATAGAGACGAGTCCATTCCTTTTATATTACAATATCAATATAATGGCGCTATTTGAACTTTGTTCTTGTTTTCTTTTTCTTCATGGTTTTTCTATCTTTAAGGTAGCTGTCTTGCGACAATACAATCCAACATTTTATACTCTAAACTAAATCGACGTCAACTCAAAATCTGCAATGACTATCTACGGTTATAGGCTGAAAACTTTTGGATAGTTTTGTCCCTCACACATAGAACAAAAGATTCTTTTATTTTTCGCATCCAGTCGCTTCTTTATGTTGGAAAATCGTGAAAATTGAGATCTATTTACTATTGTATTTCTAAAACTAAACAGTCAATAATTTCAGGTTTTTTTTACTAGTATTCCTAAATTGTCCTTCTAGTAATACTTACACATCCGTTTTTCATCACTTTCTTGTTGTTCATTCTAAAATTATTAAAATTCAAAATACGAGATTTTCGTATGATTTGTATATATTCAATGTATGAAAAAAGTGCAATTTTTGATAGCGATTATCTCGTGTTCGGGATTATCTCATGTATGGTCAATTACTTTTAAATTGTACAAACGTGTAGATACCACATTTATTAACGTATAGTTAAATTTTCAAATTTTTCTTGTTAATTGCGATTTGCGAGACAACTTTAATGTAGAACCTTAAATAGTACAAGTTGAATGAATTTTATGATGCTACCTTGAAGAAAATAATTGGAAAAATAAAAAAAGACAGTTAACAAGCGTGATGCGGTTCGACATGTACGTCAGTATCTTGACTATAAAGTATGAAAAAGAGGATCCTTATTGTTCCCCAAGAAAAGGACGGATACAAGCATTCACTCATCCACGTCAAAGAAAGCACCAATAAGAGTAGCAGGAGCGTACCTAAAGCTAAGCGCCAGCCGGCCCTCGAGATATCTGATGGCGGAGTTGACAAAGGTGGCGGGTAAGGCGATGGCGAACCATCGCGCGAGCATTAAGCCAAAGCCGCCTACGTCGCGTAAAACTATCCTCTTGACGATCTGACCCTCCAGTTCGGCTACATACACCGACAGGAAGGTTCTCGCCAGTAACATCAACGTCGCGCATGCCAATAAGCCCATCTCTCGAGTACGCCATCCCGGCACCATGATCTTCAATAACATCATCAGCTGTCGGAAAAAATCGCGATCCAATCCGACTGACAATCTTTGTTTTCCCCCGCCACTTCCGACGGAGTTGTTATCAAGAGAATTATTTCGTAGAACGGCATTGCTTCTATTGCGTTTGGAGTGAGATTGTTGGCTTTTCTTCTGGCTGGATTGTTTGAGGCGAGTGAGGATGTGCGGATAGGTGAGTTTGAGGAGATAGAGCGCCGTAGCTGCGCCGGCGACGCCGCACGTCAGCGTCTCCTGTCGCACGCCGTAGCGTGCGGACGCACCGTCGATCAGCTTCGAGAACACCGAAGACATTCTTCGTCCGCGTGTCCTCGTCGGGCGGAAATTGGCAAATCAGTGAATCCCAATAGCGCGCATCCCGCGCTATCACGAAAATCACGATAATGACGGCGATAACGACGCATCTACTACTCGACTCCGCTTCGCTGCGCTTCGTTGCTTCGGTCCACGCTTACTTTAGACGCGAGCGAGAGCGCCTGTTTCGATTGTGCACACGCGGTTATGTGAACGCGCGCACGCGTGACCGCTCAGGCCGGCCATCAGCTGGCAACTGGCAACTAACGCTTTACTCTCCTCAGTCCTCGCGCGATACGCCGCGATGGAGAACCCACGTCATATCCCCGCAGTTAACTTCGTTCTCGCGCGTGGCCCTCTCCACACGGCCTGTCTTCAGTTCTCGTTTCAGTATTAGCACTTTGTGTTGGTAAATGAGTTGAACTCTCCTATTCGCTCAATGACACGTAATCAATCGTTCTGATTTGAATAATAATACGCGATTCATGAATCAGCGTTAATAAGCAATACAGAAATTGCTAGAAGGTTATGAATTTTTACATGAATTTATCGATAAATTTTAAAAATTTTCGAAACATTTGAAGAATTTAAAAAACTTCAATGTTGTTAAAATAGTTAGAATTGTTTTAAATTTTAATTTAGGAGTGTTAGCTATAGGAGTGTTAGTTTTATGCTAATCTTTGTGACAAATTTTATTGCATGTATTAGTTTTAATGACAATTTCTTGTTGATTTTCTGTGCAATTTATAATTAGGTTTTTTATTCGATTGTATTGTACAAACAAGAAGACATTTATTTTGTGGTTTAAAACTTTGAAGTTTTTGAAATCCAATACAATTAATCTATATTTGTTTTAGTTTTTCTCTATTTATACATATATGATGATTCAGTATATTCAAATATGTACAGAATACTGAAGAAATGATAAGATAGTTAGATATAATAATGTCTAATCTTAGGTACAATCTTAGGAAGTCTAATCTTAGGTATAATAATATGCTACTCAATACTGAAATGATTATATATGTAATTCTTTGATATGAACAATATTATATGGCTAAACCTCTTTAAGTATAACTTTATATAGTCATATATGGTTTTATATACTAGTATATTATCATATGTGATCATATAAAAGTATATTTATAAGGTTAAAGATAATCATATATGAATATATACTCTATAATGGATTTATCCATATAAATTTGTATAACTGTTATAAATATTCTTCTAGTATATTATTTTACTTGAAAATATCAAATTAATATGAAATATATTATTTCTAGTTTCAGTTTACATAATTGCGTTGGGACGCAGTGCCAATTTAAAAAACTAAAACATGTATTTAATAATAATTATAATTGATTGCGAAATATTATTAAGCAACAAGATTTTGCTTTGACCGAAAACGGCACTTCTCATTGCTTATATTATTTTAAGCTTTTTTTCTAATTTTACACAAGATTTTTTAATTGACATATTAATTTTTATTAAATATTTTCGTAAACAGTGAAATTACCAGTAATAATTCGTGAAAAAAAATTGTTATATAATATATATTATAGTTCTTATAAACAAATATATTAATCGTATTATTTTGCAAACATACCTTATAATTTAAACTAAAAATAATATAATTGTATATGAAATGATATAGTCTAGTCAAAGTCATATAAGATTATATATGATCAGATCAGAATATTGCATCTCAAAGTATCCGATAGATAGCATTCAATGTGATCTGTTTCTCGTATTTCAAATTTGACAAACAGTGTTATAAGAACGGCATCAAAAAGACATGACACTGTCTCGCGCTATTCTCGCGCGACGCTGTCTCGGAACGACACAATTTTTGTATCAGTTATATCGGGAACTGTCGTGAAGTCCACTTTTATAATAAAGTGGTACGCTTAAAAAATAACATTTGAAAATATATAACAATTTTCTAAATTTATTAAAAAACTATTTAAAAATATATATGTCCTTATATATATATATATATATATATATATATATATATATATATATATAATCTTATATAATCATATATGACCATATAAACTCTTATCAGATCAAAATTCATATATGATAAGATAGCTTTTTAAATGAGCATATAACATACTATAAGAGATATTTTTTATATGTCCTTATATAATCTTATATAATCATATATGATCATATAAGATCTTATCCGGCCAAAATTCATATATGAGCATATAAGACCGCTTCTTATATGAACATATAAGACATTATAAGGGGAGAGAACAATTAATATAAAAAAATAACATTATAACAATTTATTGAATTAATTATAAATGTACATATCTTGTGATTGATAATACATATATACACTTCTCTTTTTAATACTATAAACAAATGTATACAATATATAAAATATATATATCTTTTATAAATATTGTCAATGAAAATGTTCGCGAATTGATAATTTCTGCGACGATTGAGCAATATCTACGTTAGCTGACGGACTTTATTTTGATTTCTTACATCAGCAATAAAATGAACCGATAATATCATCGAGACCCATTATCATGTTGCACTTTCACACTTTCAGTATATTATATATATAGAGGAAAGTTCCCTATTATGAGATATGTTAAGCTAAAAGACCCCATATAGGCCCCATCTGTTGATCCCATCATGAAAAAACCCCGCCATCTTATATTAGGATTCCTATCTCATAATAAAGGACTTTCCTCTCTCTCTCTCTCTCTCTCTCTATATATATATATATATATATATATATACTTGTTGCGCCCGTGTTGAGACACCCGTTGCGCGCGGAACTTCGCTCACGAGGAGCCCGAATTTCGCTCGAATAGCTTCAAGTTGAAGCGCGGTCCTTAACGACCGGTTGTTGTTGATGTATTGATTTTCTCGACGACTGTCAGATCTACGGGGAGACTCCGATCGTTCGGACGTATACTCCACCTGAAATGCTTGTACAGAATTCTTAATAAACCTGAGTTCCTTTTGTAATAAAGTGTTCACTCTCTTTTATTACACGAGTCCGGGAGTGCGCGGCGCGAACGCGAGTGATTGTGCGATAGCGAAGCGCAGCGCAACAATATATATATATATATATATATATATATATATATATATATATATATTAGGGAGGTCCTTATTTTTCGACTTTTAAATTTATTATGCGGCACCCCCCAGAATGTTTCCAATTCGCAAAAAAATAATCCTTACCAAAGCTCAGCTCGATCGGATAACGGAAACCCGTGCCCCCGGATTTTTAAACATTTGAGTTCTCTTGTATTAAACTGTTTACTCCATGAACATTGGTTTTTAAGGGGATGCTGGAGCCGTCTGTTTTACCGGCATTTTTTGTCGTCACGTAGCGTTGTATTAATTTGACAGAATTAAAAATCCTTCTCCAGAATTGCAGTACATACATTAATGATTCAGGGGAACTCCAATTTTATATAGAAAACGAGAAAAAATTACGGAAGTACAGATTTCCTTATCCTACTTTTATCCCAATATGGCGTCTCGAGTTGCGGCGAGCTGTCAGCTCGTCACAAGATGTATTTCATATAAGAGAAATACCATTGGTACGAACGCGAAAACAAGTTCCCTCGAATTGCACAACAAGAAAAACATCGATAAATCCTCCAAATCAAGATTTGGAAGCGTAATATAAAAGTATAATGTCGATGTGCATCGTGCGTATGTGTGCGTGCAATGTAGCGTGCTATCCTTGTCTATATCTTTGTCTATACAAGGACAGATATAGTCGATAACATAGAAAATGGTAATTTTGTCGGTTATACAGACGGCTCCAGCATCACCTTAAAGCGTATTTTCCACAAAAATCAGCCTAAAGCACTTTTTTTTTTAAACATGTCTGTCATGCTTTTCTGCACCGTTTGAGACTTTATACGTCTCATTTAAACAATTAGGTAAATTGTTAATAATTAAAAAAATAAAATTAAATAGTTATTGCATTTATTGCTTGATCAGCTGGAAAAAATTATGTATGGGCTACAAAAGTTATAGTAGTATGTTCAGAGCCAAAAAAAAGAACAAAAATTAAAAGATTACTCTATTACTTTATATAAAATAATCAGTTGTAAAACTTTAAACGCGTTTTTCTCGAAACTACAATTTTGTAGCTGGACGCTCGCATATCTCGGCCAATTTTTATCGGAATGACTTGAAATTTGGACAGAATGTTTATAACAAAATTGTCTTCAGTTAAGCGTACGATTTTTTTATTGGACAATTAGTTTTTGAAAAACAATTAAAAAAGTGAAAAAATTTTTGGTTGAACTTTGAACTTTTTTTGCTTCCTCATAGAGGAAGCTTTGTTTTCGTAAAAAATTTTTTTTAGTTGCTTTTGCCAATGTGTTCAGAATGTTCTAAAACGTCGAAAAATCGCTATTTTAAAAAATGTCGGTATGTGTGTATGTGTGTATGTATGTATGTGCCAAATTTACCGAAATTTCTATAACTCCAGAACTAATCAACCAAATCTTAACGAATTAT